CACACACACACACACACACACACACACAGAGATGAGTAGCAAAGAGAGAAACAAAACCATGTGCCATTTGATAGGAGCCAATGACAACACAATCAATTCTTAGATGTTCCTTTCAAAAATATGCAGAGCACAAATCTCACCATGAGGAACAATTACTCAAGCTATTCTATAGACTAGGCTGTAATTCCAGCACTCAGCAGGCTGAAGGAGGAGGATCGGGAACTTAGGACCATGTTGGGCCACATAAGGAGCCATCATCTCAAAAAAAAAAAAAAAATACAAAACTGAAATGTTCTTTATAGAGGAATCAATGCCACAAAATAAAGAGCAAAGAGAACTGTTCCAGACTGGATGGGTTTCCAAAGGCATGGCAACTAAGGACAGCACACGGCCCGGGGTCTGTGGGTTTCACAGCTGTCATATTGAATCTGAAGGTGCAGGATGCTGAGGTGAATACACTCGATAAGATGTTCTGGAATCATGGAGCATCATGGCTGCAGCTTGCTCTGAAATGGTTCAATGAAAAAAAAATGGTTTCTTAACTGCAACTTTTCTGTAACCTTGAAATTACTCCAATTAATATGAAAAATGCAATCATTTATTTTGAGAACAGTAAACACTATTTTAAAACCATCTATTCCTAAGTCTCTTGTAACAACCCAGTGAGCTAATACCTACAACCCACTTAGCCCAATGCCTTCAGCAGGATAAAGCCTTGAAAACGCAGCTGGGTGCAGTAAAGGGCGCCACAGACACATGAGCTCTGAACTCCTGGCAAAGCAGTCTGCAAAGTCAAATGAAAGGATTCGACCAGATTGTAGACTCGTTACCCCAAGAAACAAATGTCGGGACCAGATGACCTTGAGGCCTCATTTGTACTTAATTATGCTGAGCTGCACAGTGCTAATTACTATGTTTCTTCAGCCCTTGCCCAGGCAGCCTCCTGATTAAGATCACTTATTAGGCAGAAGATGATGAGAGCCACACCAGCAAAGCCTCACAAAGCTTGATTAAACGTCACACTTTCCTGGGTTCCTTTCAAACACGCCCTTTCCCTCGCCCTCCATGGGGAGAAGCTGGTTTGAAGCATCTCTCCCAAGGGCACAGAGCAAGCTGCTGGCAGAGCCAAGAACAAGTACCTGGAGACTCATTGGCCTTGTTTCTCGGGCTGGTTCCAAATGACCAGCTCAGCTTACCACATCTCAGGACAAAGCTCCAACTCAGCCAAGTTTGGATAATAATAGTTAACCTCGGCGAGCTTTGTCCCTTTTCAACTCCAACTTCGTACTTAATTCCATCTCCAAAAACGTTACCTCAGGGCTTGACACAGCTTCCTGGAAATAATTGGACGGAGCTTATCCTGTGCTCACTTCTCAAAACTGCCCTCGCTTAAAAACAAGAGGAGAGGGAGGCAAAGAGAGAAAATCGCCGCCGCCGCTGCGGAAGAGCTCAGCCCCAGCGCCGCATTCTCCTCACCCGGCAGGCAGGCACCGTTTCTGGCACACTCAGCTCGCTTTGACATCGAGAGGCACTCTGCCAGCGAGGAGCCACATGGACTGCCGAAGGGAGTCACAACCTGACCCTCTCATCTCCTGCCCCTCCCCCTCTCCAGGGCCCCACTGCCAGCTTCACCAACAGTTAATTGTCTTTTCATGCAACGACTTTGACAGCTCCTCTCCCACAAAGCGCACTCCAGTCTTACCCCCTGTATAGTTTGGGGAGGGGAATGTTTCCATTTTTAGGACAGCATAAGACCTGGCCTATTTAATTTAGAAATTAATAATAATTCTGAGTGCTCTCTTCTCCGTGTTCTGGAAGAGCAGTGAAGCAGCTCTGAAATGAGGCATTTACTACTGTGCCTGCCAGGACAAAAACAGATGGACCAAAAAAGTTTAGATGGATGATTCTCAAAAATTGGATGACCTTTATTATACCCCAAAAGTTATAAAAAATTAGAAGTGCAAAACTTTCACTTGCCAAAAGTCTCTCCAATTTGCAAATTTCATATTGTGAACGCAGACACAGGAGGGAGCAATTCCCATCATTCTCCAGGCCACCCAATGTCATTTCCTGGGCACTAGCCCACGGGGTCTCCTTACCTGGTGGTAAGTCTCGAGAATGGTTCTGTTCATCAGGGCCACTTCCTTGCTTCAGTGAAGAGAAGATTAAGGAATTCATGGTCATGTGACATCCTCAGACTGGGTGCAGCTCTTTAGAACATGAACCAAACAAAACCAAACCTAGCGCAGTTCTAGAGCTGACCGGCTAACTTCACGCCTGTTGCCTACTCTTAACTGACCCACTGCCTTCCCAGATTCACCGGTGTTCAAGGTGATGCAGAAACCACGGACTTACACAAATAATTGGATCAGTGCAAGTCTAGCCACAATTACGGAGTCCATTTAAAGTGCCCTCTGTGAAGCCTAGCACTGCCACCGAGGTCTGGGGACATGTGCTGCCGCCACCACCGCCTGCACTGGACACTCGATCTGTAATGTATGGTGTGCAGATACCAAATCAAGTCTCATTCTCCAGTGCGATGTGACTTAGCAGAGTATAGAGCTGTCATATCCCCAAAGAGGCCAGAGATATGTGTCCGAGAACCTGAGACATCAAGTCTCATTCTCCAGTGCGATGTGACTTAGTAGAAAGAGTATAGAGCTGTCATATCCCCCGAAGAGGCCAGAGATACGTGTCCGAGAACCTGAGACAAGGAGGGAGTCAGAACACTCAGCTTCCTCCTGCAGGAAGAGTCTGGAGACATGAAGCCGGTCAAGTTGGAGAGCCAGATATGGAAAAGGAAGCAATTCCAGGCCCTTGTGGGGAATGCTGAGCCTTAAGCCATGCACTACGGATGTGCCTGGTCACTAGATGGTTCCATGGCACATTGACTCTTCGTGCTGTTTCTGGTAACTCTGACTGGCAGCAAATTGCATGCACAGGGAATTCCACTTCCCACCATTCTGTGGAAACGCTCTGCCAGCTGTGACAACAAAGAGAAGCCCCCAGGTCTTTTCCATCTACAATCTCTTGGGATCCAGTTAATCCCACTCAGTCATCTTTATTCATTTAATTTCATTTGTTTTTAAAATGCCATCCAGATAAGAATCCTTACTACAAGCAACCTTTACCATTTATCTCCTTCTCAAAATATTAATAGTAGACCCAAACACCAATCTCCAGCCCGAACTATTAATTCTCCCTTGCTCCTAGTGGGACCAGAAACTGTTACATTAGCAACAGAGGTAGGGCGTCGTGGTATGTTTAAATCTCAAAACAGTCTCAGAGCTAACACATACAAGAAAAAAATTGGACATTTGGGCTTTTGTATCAGTTACGTCTGTATAGTGAATAAAACGGCAAAGCATCATGGGCGGGGGTTTCTATTAATATAAGCATAGCAGGAAACATTTTACCAATAATTAAAATGCAGGCTGCTGGTGTCCCTCAGGATTTTTATCATTTTTTCACATTCTTCTGCTTATTAGGAAATTTGGACTGTGGTTTTGGATGCTGAGTCAAAAGAACTAATTAAATGATAAATGTCACTTTTTCTCCTGACTTACACAACCAGGATTTGAATAAGATGTTCTTCTATTATGCCAAACCAAGAGAGAAAACACTATTCTTTTGGTTCTTAGAGGACAAGGGGATTCGTAAAAAAGTGAGTAGTTAGTAAATAATCAGAACTCTCTGTGTCACTGTTTATTTACTGAAGTTTACCCACTTGCGCTTTTGTACAAGGTATACTTCTAAGGAATTCCTGACCCTTTGAGCAATTCACAAACATTTACTCACTACCTTGGTGAAATCCTGGATGGCTTTAAATTTATCGGTCTTCCCATTTACAAATAAAGCTCACAGAAACAAATTTCTGAACATCAAGGTTACCTTACTCAAGCTTAGTCTGGTTTCCAATCGTCACCATTTATAGAGTTGGGTGTTTCAGCCACAGAGTTCCATACTTAGCTTTTTCTCACCCTCTTCACATTCCCTACAGCAAAGAGTGGGAGAGAAAATGGAAGGGGCTGAAAGGGGAGCCAAAGGAGGCTAGGAGAGGGAAGGAACAGGGGACAGGGGAAGGGAGAGGGGACAAAAGACACAGCTACAAAAGGTTTAACAAACAAACAACGTCTAAAGTATTCCTTCCCTGCTTCATCTTTACATTGATCATATATGTTTATAGCATTCTTCAAATTATTAGTCCCCGACAAGACAAAACAAAACAGTTAACATCCCGGGCCTGGGCACTGTATCAACTCACAGTTGCTGGACATAACCACCGACTTCTGTTGGCATTGACAACATGCCAGTGCTGTTCCCATGGCTGGAGACGTTAGCTCACAGCATCATCAGACATCCTACGGCCCCCACACCGCCTAACCACCAGCACTCAAAGGTGAGGAAGGCAGCATGCAGCAGCATTTAACGTGGCCCTGGGACAGTCTAGATGCAGACCAGGACCACTGGGTGTCAGAGTTCACTGTAGTTCATCCTCACTCTCCTGTTGATTGGGTACACTGCTTATTTCATAAATCCATGCATTTTCTAAATACATCGGTGGGAATGTCAGGTAGGCAGGTTCTAGAAAAGCTACCGTCTCAGGTGTTGTGTGACGACAGTCTTCACTCTCACCTCACGGTGAACCTAGTTCATACGTTCTAAAAGGTTTTCCTTGATAGTCAAAGGATGCTAGGTCAGACACACAGGTGGGCTCTGAAGAGCTAGTGAAGAGACTAAAGACGACCAAGACAATGTGGTCCTGAACCCGCAACATTCCAACTCCTCACCGTCTTGGAGTTGCAGTCAATCAGTTAGCTTTGTAGAATATCTAACATGGTTATGCCATTTTTACCCAGTGTGTTTTAGTTCACACATGAAAATATTAAGAGATTTTTAAAGCAGAGTAACAAAACATAGACAAAATGTTTCAGCAAAGTCTAATCAGTAGTATGTGTTCAATAAACGGAAGTGATTACCACATGATTTTAACATTTGCAAGAATACTTTGTATTCATGGATATTTCCAAAAATGATGTATAATCACAGAAATTGCTGCTAGAAGAATGAATTCTAGATTCTTCCAATAATGCCACACATTATAATTATAGCTCCTTAATTTAAAACAAAAAATTCCTAAGGACCTCCTGTGCACTGGGGTTTTTATGATTGGTTAAAAATTCAGTTTCCCACTGCATTTGGGAGATTTTTGTTTAAATTGTCTTGGTTGTCCCCAGCTAGCCATGGCTAGGGAAGCTCCAGCACTCCGTTTCTGCAAGCCCAGTGCCTGCCAGGGGCTTGTCCACAATTGTCCCAGCCATCCTAACATTGAAAAGGACATTCTTTGTAAAGTGGACAGCTGTGCCGATTTAAATCTGAAATCTTTCTAATATTTTGCGTGTGTGTCAATATTCTTATAGGAGGAAAGTATAAATGCTGATGCCATCCTACTGCACTCCTTCCCTTGGCTTGAAAGGCAAGTCTATAAGCTTGTACAAATAGCTCAGCCATCTCCCCCACAGAATGGTAGGAGGAGGTCACTGTAAAGGATTGTCTCCCCTTGGATTTCTGTCTTAACAAACACTGTACCTGGCTTCCGGGAGACAGCACGTCACAGAAAGGCAGACTCACTCAGAACATGGCTCCTGTTTGATCCTTTATCCACAAAAGAATGTAGCCAGAGTGGAGGCCACTGTAATAAGCCAGCATGCCCACCTTGCAGACCCCTGACCTTGCTGACCTCTCTGTGTCCCAGATCCTCCACTCAACCTGAGAGAAGTGCCTCTCTGTAGTCAGCCATGAGCCAAGCTTGGGGGACACATGTAACCTAATCAATAGGCAATAAGAACAACAACATATGGCACTTTTGCAGTATTGGGGCCTTCACTCTTCGTATAGTAAAGCCAGGGCATATGCAACCCAACACATTTTCACACAATTCTACACCCATGGAACCCCACCCACAGCAACATGTAGTGTGGGTCTCCTTCTTCCTCAGGGATCATTGGCCTCCAAGAGGGTGGAGGGAACAAAAGCAGAAAATGGGGTTTGGATGGCTGTAGATACCATGGAGGTAGCCTTCCAGAATGTGACTTCAGTGAGACAGCTCAGCTTTATTCCAGAGTATGAAAATATAAAGGATTGGGGACCGTAGCTGGGGAATCACCTAATTGCATTAAACAGTGCAATCCTTTCATAAAGCCAGGTTAGTGGCATCACAGCCCAGTGAAAATAGCTAGAGCATGTTACTTTATTACCATGTGGTCATCAGGGGAAGAACATTTACAGAGAACTATGTCAAGGGTCATCTTTGAGAAAGGTCGGGCATCCAGGCCTAAAGACATCTTCCAAATATGGGCAGGTAGAGGACAGGAAGCCTCGCTGGGTAGGTAGTTCTTTATGTTGCTTGGAGAAAGCTGCCAGGCCATGGTAGACTGCAACCTCTAACCAGCAGGGCCTCCCAACAATGTAGAACATTCCCCGTGCACCAAAG